GAAATGAAATTTATAGAATTTATATAGAAAATATATACTTTTAACAGTGCGCCCCCCCGAAGAAAGTCTACCGCCCCCCCCCCCCCCCGAACATTTCAAGTGCCCCCCCGGAGAAAAAAGTCTGGAAGAAACACTGAATACAGTAGAGTTTGATAACAAGAATGGCAAGCGAATTGGGGAATGACGGGGTAGAAGAGTTTCTTTCAGTCATCATTCTCCCAACGGAATAGAATTAAATAGAAAATATATACTTTACTAGTCATCGCCCCCTGCAAAATGTAGTATGTCACCCCCCCTCCATCGAAAATTTCAAATGACCCCTCCCCACCGGTAAAAAAATGTCTGGAAAAGACCCATTGAGGGTAGAGGTTAGAATAACCGACAAGAAGTCTACCATTAACGCGTTTTAGTTTAGTTTAGCTTAGCACAGCCGCCAAAGCGTAGCCGCGCAACGATTGGTCGGGGCGAGTCACATGACCTTACCACGGCCAGCAGAACTTTGATGTACTTGAGCGCCCCGATAAATCCAGTGATGGAGAAGATCACGATGAGGGCGCCACACGCCACGGCCAATGATCCAAGTTTGATGGCCCTGAAGGGAGAAAAAATGTGAGATGACGAACCTCTTTAAACATAAGCAAGGTGGAAGACTTCGGACAAGATTTCTGCCAAGAATTCACAAAAATTATTCATATGTGCAGATTTAAAATATCCAACGTCTAAGAAAAGGAAGTTAGTTACCCTAAATATACATTTAAATTTTAGTAAAATAAAAAAAGCCTACCACAAATTACTCTCGTCAACTATGTAACTATCCACCCACGTCACAATCCACCTACGTCACAATCCACCTACGTCATAGTCCAACTACATCACAATCCACCTACGTCACAATCCACCTACGTCATAATCCAACTACGTCACAATCCACCTACGTCATAATCCAACTACGTCACAATCCACCTACGTAACAATCCCCCCCCCACCTAACAATCCCACACGTCACAATCCACCTACGTCATAATCCCCCATGTAACAATCCACCTACGTCACAATCCACATACGTAGCAATCCATCCATGTAACAGTTCACCCACGTCACAATCCACCCACGTCACAATCCACCCACGTCACAATCCACCCACATCACAATCCACCCATATAACAATCCACCCACGCCACAATCCACCCATATAACAATCCACCCACGCCACAATCCACCCATATAACAATCCACCCACGCCACAATCCACCCACGCCACAATCCACCCACGCCACACTCCACCTACCACTCGCCGATGTCCACACTATCGGGTACGGCCTGGGTTATGGGCATGATGTTCTGACCCTCGGTGCTGATGGCCCCGGGGAGGTCGTCCTTGCTCGCGGCGTCGCCGATGTACTCGTTGATCAGGGAGCCAAACATGAAGCGGACCAAGATCCCCATCGCAAAAACTAACAACCCCCATATCTGCAGGACAAGACATCAACACTTTGCGTCATACAGAGGCGTAGCGAGGAGGGGGCGGGGGGGGGACATATGTCCCCGGGCGCCGACCTTAGGGGGGGCGCCAAATTGAAAGTTTGAGGGGGGGTGCAAATGAAAAGTTCGAGGGGGGGGTGCAAATCGAAAGTTTGCTCCCGAGGGGGCGCCAAATTGAAAGTATGTCCCCGGGCGGCGGCAAGGGTCGCTACGCCTCTGGCGTCATATACCATGGCACGGCGTGGTTTAGCGCTAGAGAGCTAAAGTGTTAACCCGAGTTCGAATCCGGGCTCAAGTCAGTAGAATGTCTCCACAGTCCCCCCAGCTCTCATGGGTACCTGAGTCACAGAGGCGTAGCGAGGGGGGGGGGCATATGTCCCCGGGCGCCAACCTTAGGGGGCGCCAAAATGGGTTGGAAAAATAAATTGAAAGCTTGAGGAGGGGTGTGCAAATCCAATCTTGAGGGGGGAGGGCAAATCGAAATCTTGAAATCTTGAAGGGGGGGGGGGGGGTGCAAATCGAAAGTTAGAGGTGGGGGGAGGGGAGTGCAAATGCAAATCGAAAGTTGTCACCGGGCGCCGGGAAGGGTCGCTACGCCTCTGCTGAGTCACGCTAGGGAAAAACAAAAGCGTCTGGACATTGTTCTAGCCACACTATACCTTCATGGGCCGAGGTCTCTGGAACAGGTGAACTCTACTTCATCTGCCCCACGTGTCTTGGGCACGGAGGGGAAAAGATGATGAGATGAAGTTTTATACCACGACCCCCCCCCCCCCCCCCCATCCCTTGACTTGTATGGCCTGCGGCAGGACCTAACTGGGAGTCGTAGACCTGCAGAAAGGTGGGGTGTACTGCGCAGGCGTGTTTGTAGTGCAGAGGCGTAGCGATGGGGGGGGGGGGGGGGGAGGGGGGGGGACATATGTCCCCGGGCGCCGAAGTGGGGGGTTGGAAAAAGTAATCGAAAGCTCGAACGTTTGAGGGGGGGGGGGGGAGTGCAAATCGAAAGTTTGAGGTTGGGGGGTGCAAATCAAAAGTTTGAGGGGGGTGCAAATCGACAGTTTGAGGGAAGGGGGGGGGGGGTGCAAATCAAAAGTTTTAGGGGGGGGGTGCAAATCGAAAGTTTGTCCCCGGGCGCCGGGAAGGGTCGCTACGCCTCTGTTGTAGTGTTTATACTGACCAATGATTGAAGTGACAAATGATTGGAGTGACCAATGATTGAAGTATTAAACTGGCCAATGATTGAAATGCTATAGTGATCAATGAATGAAGTGTTGGGATAGCCGATGATTGAGGTAAACATTGACCGAAGAGTAAATGGTATACTGTGGGACGGTAGAGAATTGGACTGCTAACCCGTATGTCTCGAGTTCGAATCCGGGTTCAAGTCAGTAGACAGTCAATGAGTCTACACAACTCTGATGGGTACCTGAGTCACATTAGGGAAAATAAAGGCGCTGGGCATAGTGCTGAACACACTATCTCTTCATATGCCGGGGTCACAGAAACAAGTAAACTCTACTTCACTTGCCCCATAGACCGTCAGATTTGAAAAGGGAACTTTACTTTTACTTTAAATGGTATACTGATCAATGACTGTAGTGCTATATTGATCAATGATTGAATTGTTATACTGACTTATTATTAAAACGTTATAATGACTTACATTAACCAATGATTGAAGTGTTACAGTTATATGGACCAAGGATTAAAAGTTAAAAGGTTATATAGACATCCATACTGACCAATGATATAGCCATCGAGATGACCAAAATATAGGCGAGCCGCATTTTGCCAATTTATTGGCGCCAGGACGCAAGTTATCCAAGAATTGGGTAGAACACTAGGGAAGGCAGCTAGAACTGAGAGACCAATGTACGAAGCATTGGGGCGGATCTTATCCTCATTGACTTCTAAAACAAGATGGTGAATGGCGGTGTCTAGGTCTTACGCTGGCGAAAGAAAAAAATTGTAATTCTTTGAACTACTTTAGTTAGTGCAGTAAGATATATAATTAAATACATACTTTCAGTTGTTTTGTTTAACTGAGGTTAATTTTTAAATTCCTGGTAAAAATTGTTAATAACTTACTGATGTTATTTGTTATTATAAATTACATTCGCCATTGTGTCCTTATGGAAAAACCGGAAGTCAGTGCGTCGCTACTAAACTAATACGGTGCGTCGCAGTCTGCGCCGGTGCTAGCCTACACAGTGCGGAAAGGTACGCACCAAAAACATTGCGTCGGTGAGCAAATAGTAAATAGATCGCGTCGTTTTTATAATAGCTAAATGTTGTTTAAATGAACTTTGAAAAAAATAAAAAAAAATAAACGAATTTAAAAAAAAAATAAGTAGAACATAAATATAAACTTAATTTGTTAAGAATTTTCCGCCCTTGTTAGATGTTTTCGGTGATTTCCAGATGGAATGATTGCGTACGTGACGTCAAACATAGAGATGATTGAAGATCTGACATGTGAGGGGTGGGGCGGGTGTGTGGCTTTAAGCCAAACGTCGCCACATAATTTTGTTTCGGTAAAAAAAAATTGTTACTAGATCTAGACTCTAATGATTATTTAACAATAATCTGTTTGATATCAAATAAAATATCTGTCTGAGAAAGAATTGAAACATTGGTCCATGTATTATCAGATATAGATATTTTCTAATATACTGGTATATTGCTGGAGGGGACGGCGTGGCTTAGCGCTAGCACTAGACTGCTATCCCGAATGTCTCAAGTTCGAATCCGAGATCAAGTCGGTAGACTGTCCCGGAGTCCACCCATCCTTGATGGGTACCTAACTCATTTTAGGGAAAGGAAAGACTGCTGAGCATATTGAAACTCAATTCCTTCATAATGCCGAGGTCAAAGAAACAGGTGAACTCTACTTCACTTGCCCGATGGACCGTCATGTTAGAAAACTACTTATACAGCTGGGTTGGGTGAAGTCTTCCGCCTCTGTCTGCTCGAAGAAGTTGTCTGCTCTTGTAGCTGCGAGTCACGTGTTAAATACTAGGGCCCTTCTTGTGTTTAGATCATGGACAATAAAAACCATGATCATAACCCCCCCCCCCGACTTAAGCCTGGACGTCAGTAGCGTAGCGAGGGGTGGGTGGGGGGACATATGTCCCCGGGCGCCGACCTTAGGGGGTGCCAAAATGGGTTGGAAAAATAAATTGAAAGGTTGAGGGGGGTGCAAATCGAAAGTTTGATGGGGGGGGGGGGGGTGCAAATCGAAAGTTTGAGGGGGTGTGCAAATCGAAATCTCGAGGGGGGGGGGGGGTGCAAATCGAAAAGTTTGTCCCCGGGCGCCGGGAAGGGTCGCTACGCCTCTGCTTGACGTACACCCTCAGACATATCCCCTCCCCTCCAGACTCTACCCACCCTCCGACGTAAACTCCGTGGACAACAAACTGTACACCTTAACTAAGGTTTATACTATGATAACGAGAACAAACCACACCAGCCCACCCCACCTGTAGAGGCTTGTGTTACCTGTGAACAGACCTAGAACA